CTGCAGCAAGAGGCCTGGGCTCCTTCTGTCTGTGTGGAAGTCAGGGCTACAGTAAAAACTACAGTGAAGAACAGATAGAGCTGTTAGTTTTATCAGCACTATTTCCATCAGGCACCTTACATGGTGTCTCCTGTTCTTCTGTTTCTTCCCTCTGCCAGTAGAGTCTAGAAAATCCAAAAATATTTCTTTTCCTTTCTGTGTTCATGAATCCATCATTTGTACCCAGCATGCTTTCTGATATGAACTTGTTCTTTAATCTCGTGAATCTTGCTTCTGATTTGATTTTTCCAAGAAGTAAAATCCAGCTGGTTTTCTCTTTTTAGGTGTTTGACTTTGAACTGACTAAAGAGGAGATGGCCACCCTTCTTAGCTTAAACAAAAACTGGAGGATCTGTGCAATGGTCACGTAAGTGACAGTTTGTGTCCTTCAAACTCTTACATTTTCAATGGTCTTTATCCTGATCTCACAGGAACTGGTATAGCTGTTAAATTGGCTATATTTTGAAATCTGAAATAATTTTGGGCATGAAGCATTTATTGTTATACTTCCACTTTATTGACTGAAAGGCAAGTGTAAGTCATGCTTTGTATTCATTGTGAATCCATTCTCCAGGAAACTTTGTATGCCTGGAATTCCAAAATGAGAGTTCTAGTTGGTAACTTTGGCTGTGTCCATATGGGACAAACGAGCACTAGGCAGTCTTAAACTTGGGGTAATTTTTTTCTGTGGGGTATTATAAATTGACGTCAGCTCTCACACAGGTGGTTGTGGTGGGGAATGAGCATCTGTTGTGCAGTACAGAGCACAGCTGCTTGCAGAATATGCACCAAGACAGGAAGTCTTGTCTGCAAGGCCACAGAAACTGCTGTTGTCTGTAAGCAGTGTGAATTTTAACTCTGTATCTACAAAGTAACTTGGTCCCACCACTGTTCAGTGCCTGAATTACAAAAGAAGGCTGGAACTTGTTGGTCCTGTAAGCTGTTTCTATACTATCAAGTCTCTTAAGTTCACTCTGCAGTTACTCAGAGCCTCCTTTGAAGGCTCCTCTGTACACCCACTGTTGTTCTATATAGCAATTATTTTAGCCTAGTAATCTTTCCTCTTTGATTTCTTCCAGGTGCAAAAATCTTAAGGAGTACCCTTTCAATGCAGAATACTGAAGATGGTTTTTTTCCTGGCCTCTCTCAGGCCCCCTGGGTCTAATGAGCTTCTACCATTGCCTCAAACTGTGCACTTTGTAGCTGACACACTGTATCCCTCCTCCCAGCAAAGGCACAGGATATGTGTTCAGTGACTTTGGGTTTTCTTCTTTGGTGAAAGGAAATTGTACAGTTGTTCTGAAGAGCAGAATGTGGGCTGTGATAATTCTCATTACCTGAGTGTCTCTGCATGGCTGAAATAGCAAAGGAGAAAACAGAAGAGGGAACTAACAACTGATTTTTATCTACTGTCTTGCATCAGCACTGCTTAAGGCTGCAGGGTTAAGGATATGTAAGTGCAGGAGAAAAATCCATCCTGAATAATCACATAATCACTGCCTGAAGGTAAAAGACAAAATTAACTTCTAGAGTACAGCCCCAGGCTTTCTGGGAAATAAGAATAAATGGGAGAAGTGTCCAGACCTATAGATGAATAACAAGTCATATTGGGCCTTATTTCAGTCCCTTTTTTACAGGCTGAAACTGCATAGAGATTGATGTTCAATTTCATTCTTGACCAAAATAAAAATATTTGAATTACTGCTTGTTTGGAAGTTCTATTTTTATGTTAAAAATAACAAACCAAGAAGCTTGCATTAACAATGTAGCTGGAAATAATCATCCCTATTCAATTTTCAGTTACGACACAAGAGCATTGAGACCTTGTCTTGATCAGAAGTTGAATAATTTGGTATAACAAGCATTGACACAGCAATGCTGAAAAGAACAGTTAAGTAGGACAAGCCTCTCACTGACATATTTTATGAAAATCCTTTTGCTAGGATTTTTCTCCTGAGAAGCTGAGAAGCCTCAGAAAAGAAATGTAAACAATAATTATCTGATGGCTGTGCAATGTGGTCTGGAGATGGTTTACCAACAGGCGCATCTTTGATTGGTCTCATGTGGATTGTTTTTAATTATTGACCAATCACAGCCAGCTCTGTTGAGACTGTGAGCTGTCACAGGTTTTTTATTATCATTCCTTTCTAGCCTTCTGATGTCTCCTTTCTTTAGTATAGTGTTAGTATGGCATTTTTAATATAATTTATATCATAAAATAATAAATCAGCCTTGTGAAACATGGAGTCAAGATTCTCCCTCTTCCCTCATCCTGGAGCCCCTCGCACATCACCACACAAGCCTTAGCATGAGCTGTGGGTTAACAAGCAACAGGAGACCAACACCTGAAACTGCTGGAAATCTCTGCACTGATTTGGTCGGTAGCCTGTGCTGGTGTCTGGCTGTTAAAAGCCCACAGTAACAGACTGGGGGAGATCAGCAGTGTTGAGCAGGTGTCTGCTGCAGCACAGAAGCAGAGGGTGCCTGGTGGAACTGGTACCTGTTAATGCTGA